TGCATTTTAACGTAATCAGGAAAAGGGGTCGTTCGTTAATGATGTCAAACTGTTATAGTACATGAAGCTGTGTGACACTTTCATGCAAAATATTTTGATGGAAAAAAAAGAATCTGTATTAAAAGACATCATTTATGAACAGTCCCTCCAAGGGTATTAAGGAAAAGTTCAAGACAAGCTTTCTCTTCCTGAATTTTTAAATACAAAAGGAGCTCATTTAAAAAGCAAAATTTATTTATTCTTGATATTTTCAAACGTGCGCTTGTAATTTTCCTCGATTTGCTTACTTCCATCAGCATCTCACGAGCAAGAAGAAGCTTGACATATGTGAAGTTAAAAATAAATAAAAAGTTATATTTAATTGGAATGTTCAGTAAAAGTTTTCTTGACGAAAACAAATATTTTTGATGTGGCTGAATGGGTTGTTAGAACAAATACAGAAGGAGAAGTTTTGCGTATATGCATGAGCAATGCGAATGCTTTATATTTGATTACATTTAGATTTAATAGATGTATGTCAATACTTTACTGCTCATATCAATCTTGATATAGAGTTCTTGTGCATGATTATGCTTGGGATTGGAGCTGAGGGTTTAAAATTCAGGTGTTTTGTCTATTTCTTTATCAGTAGGCTGCTTACTAGCTTCTACAGTAGTTTGCACGCTACGCTTATTTTAGCACATACCTAAATTACAGTAAAGTCAGAATAATATCAAAAACTTCCATTCCTTAACCCAGGAACCTCCCGTTGGCATTAATGCCGTCCTAGACAGCCATTTTTATGCCGTGTGCCATTCGGACTAATCTTCTGCTAAGACGTCCACTGAGAATTTCTTTTGTTGTTTCTTCAAAATAATTCTTACACAAATATGTCGAAATGATTCATCCGAAAAAGTTTATTTTGTATTTTGCGTGCTTTTGGGCCATTCAATCGATCAGTTGTAACAAATACTCATACACATAGAGCCACAAAACTACTTTTTCTTTCTTATTTACGTTTGTCTAACTGTGAAATGATTTTATTGCGGTTTTTGCATAGTTTTGGATTTGTAGCTTTTCAAGCTATATTAAGGATCTGTCGTTAGAAAGTCATATTTTTTGATTATTTGTTGTATATGCATACGATCCACACGTGATGTGATTGTGGAAAGAAATAAGGACATGATTTATTTGATTCTATAAAAAAATGTTCGATTTCTGAAGGGGGTTGTAAAAAATAAATGAAAGCATTTTGTTCTATTTTTGGATGTTGCATGTGAAAAATAAGCTTTTGACAAGGATTGAGAACTTTTCAGGAATGTTTTGGTCATGGAAAGCTTGATCAATGAATGGCTTTTGTGGTAAAAAAGACAAGAAGAGTTTAAATTAATTTAAAATTTTGAAAATTGAGTAATTCTTCCGAGTTTAGCTTTATATTTCTCACAAATCACATCATTCTCTAAAGATTAAAATATTTCTGCACATGAAGCTCAAATTCCCACCCCAAAAGCCATCCACAAACCCCCTTCTTAGTATTGTATTAAAACCAAAAATGTCAAAAATGTGACAAGCTAATTTTGCCTCGAGCTCAGGTGAACGTTCATTTATGACAATGTATAATATAATATTAACACGTGATAGCTGCATACAGTTATTATAATTTTCGTGTGCGCCATTTGACACATTTGTGTGACGGGTTTTACAATAATGAGCAGGTACAGCAAACGTTTAATACAATTATTTAATTACAATGTAGGAACATACAATAAAGATTTTCCATAAATTGTCAATTAAATGCAATTTAGCTCCTTGTTACCTTGTTAATGTTCTATTGTCAGGTGTTTCTGACTTTTTTGTTCTCTTACAAAACGAATATAGCATGAAATATTTTCAGACCGAAAAACATTGATAATAGAAATGAGATAAAGAAGAAGAAGAATCGAAATTAATCTATAAGACCGAAATGAAAGCTACATTTATACAGGAAAATGGAAATAGTAATCCTATAAAAAATTTTATGTTCTTAGCTCTGTGAAAAAATATTTTTTTATAGGCATAAAGGTTTAGGTATGAAAAATTTTGAGGTTGTTCTACTTATTGTAACTTTGAGTCAGTTGAGGTAACATTTTTGAATTATTAAATCGCTGGCTGTGTAACGAAATACAAAGATATAGGAGTAATGTGTGAAGGTTCCAGCCTTTCAGCTAGAGGCACTGTGATTCAAATTAAAGACATAGGAACTCCATACTGAGGCATGAAGAGTGCTTCGTACTGGAGGATGCCTCATACTATACTTCTTTAAGTATACCTGTTTGCTACCTTTAGGTTTACTGCAGTTTATTACATAAGACAAAGTTCGCTAGCTTATTGGAGGCCCTGTCTCATGCATGGGATCTTTTTGGTTTCAAAACCTTTAAAAAAAATGTCCTAGTAAAATTCTTGATGCCAAAAGTTCAATAAGTATCCCTTTAAAATTCCACATCCACACAAACGCACTTAAAAATTAGAAAAAAAGTATTTTTTCCAAAAAATTAAATAATTCCTTCTATTTTAATTAAAACAAATATTTTCCCGAGAACAATGCTAGTTTAACCATGATTAATTATTAAAAGGTACTTTAATCTCCCATATTTCATGAAGAATTTACCAAAAAATCATAAAAATAACACAAAGAGAATAAACATTTCCCTTTTTCTGTTAATTTTATAGCTCAATTTGCTTTTGTTCTTATTTATTTATAAAAATTATTATTTTGGATTTTCTACTTTATGTATATGACTTTTTATGTTAACATAAATCTTAATTTTACAATGGCTTTTCAGTTGTGTAAAGAATCACAAAACTCATAGTAAATGATAAGGGTATGAATAGTTTTATTTGATAGCTAAAATGTGTCTGACACACAAACTAAGGTAGTTGGGAATATTTTGGATGAGGTAGGGGATCGTTCACTTATGACGTCCAAAATTAACTCTCATTTTTCAAAAGAGAACAATGGATTTCCAGGAATTTCTATTGTTCTTTTCTTGCTGACCCCCCCCCCCCCCCCCCAACCCCCTCCCCTTTCTTAGACGTCATAAGTGAACGGTTCCTAAGGTTATTCGACGTTTTTAATGAATATTTGAGATGGGTGGCTCTGTTTCTAAATATGCTTCAAATTCTGAGAAATCCTTCATTATATTTTTAAACATTCCTGAAAATATTGAGCTTGATGATTAATTAATTTTTTATCTAAGAATTTCCAATACATTGAAAAGCTTTAATTGAACTTTTTCAGAAAACTTTTCACCCCAACCTCGAGAAAGTGAAAAATCTTTTTCAACAATTTTTTTGACAGACTAGCAGCAATCATTTAGCCTTACGGTAAAATCTACTCAACCAAAGCCATTGTTTACTCTATTGTTTATTTTGCCAAGAGCACTAAATGAAGTGAAGTTTTATTTTTTTGTTAAAAATCTATCATGTCAAGAATTTGTTATGACTTCACATTAAGCAATGTTTACCTTTCATGTCTTCATGAAGATAACTCTTTGAATAATTTTTTTCTTTCTGCTATTTTTTGTCAATTCAGGAGAGATGTAGAGACGAAGAAGAGGAATTATTACGTTTCATATAAAGCATGCAACACATGTGCGAAATTTATTCTCAGTTGTGATGCTGATAGATTCATGTTTGTCATTTTTAGCTTGTTTTTTGAGAAGAAAACAGCGAGGAATGAGAAGAATTTGTGTTTTGGATTTTTTTTTATGAATTTGTTGGGAATTTTGTTGAGCTGAACAATTTTAATGACTTTATTCAGCTTTTTAAGGCAACGACTTTTAAAAAATCTAGTTTTGTCTAAAGCGACGACTTAAATTGATTAAATTTAAATCGATGACTCAATTGGGAAGTTTTTTTTGAAGCAACGATTTTATTTGCTGAATTTTAAAGTATTGACTTTTATTTTTTGAGTCGACGACTTAACAGCAATGCCGTATTTTGTAAATTTAAACTTTTACAATTTATGCCTAAAAATCACGTTCAAAAATTGCACAACAATCTACAAAATTACTGATTCACTTGATGATTTATGCATAAATATAATATTTTTTTTATCGATTTTCGTGTCATGAAATTCGATGAGGAAGTCAGCTGTATTGAAATGACGACAACATATCAACTTGTTACTTTCAAATATAAATCTTAAATTACAAATGACGTTTATGGTTTCTAAAAATAAATAAGAAATAAATTGTAAACGAGCATGTCCTTCAAATTTTATATCACATTATGTCACAAAAGCTTAACAAATCAAAAATTTATTCTGTAAAGTCCTCGATACGAGCAATTAAATCTGAATATCATCCATATTGCTTTCATTATGGAAAGTGTGTCATTATTATTATTTTTAGTTTAATGCCATAAGCCTAGAGCCATATAAAATATAATCATAATAAAAGTCAATCAGCGGAGCCATTAAACGGAGCCTTTTTTTATTATTCCGTTAAATATTCGAAAGTAAATATTTGCATGAAAGTTGATGCCATGGATATTTTCATTCACACCAGAGCTACATAGATTTATGCAGAGTTGGAATTTGTTGAATTTTATAGTTTTTGAATCTACAATTTTTGAAAGGTAATATAATATGGACATTGAAGGGGTCTTAACAGTAGATCAATACATTATTTTCAATCTAGGGCTTCACAGTCTAGGGCAAGTCTATGGTGGACGTTGCCAACTAAGCATCAAATTAGCTAATTTTCGAGATATTTAACTTGAAGCTTTCAAAATTGAGCTAAATCAGTTTCTTTACATTTGATTTAGATCTAAGAAAAGCTTAGTCTTAGTTCAGCAATCAACAACCTAGAATATTGACAGCAACAAAACTTAGTCCTTATGAAATTCCAACTCTGAATTTATTCAATAGCCCTGGGACAATTTATGTACCTATCATCTAACCCTTTTTTTTATTCTCGTTCTTTTCTTTCCATTTATATTCATTTCTTTGCTTGTTCTGTGTCCCTTCATTCCCCATCCAGTAATAACAGATGAGTAAAAAAAATTAAATATTAATTTAAATGGAAGTGGGGAATCGAATAAAAGCGATCAACAATGATGAAAAATTATGATAATTCTCATCATAGATGAAATTTAAAATATACACAAAGAAAGAGAAATAGTAGCAGTGGAACCATAAAGCTTCTAGTCATCTAATGCGATGTGATAGTTAAAAAATGTATATATTCATGTGCTCGTGCTCTGTAATGTCAAATGCCATAAAAAGGAGAAAAGGAAAAAGTTAAGAAAATGTATAAAAAAAATTATCTGAATAGAAAATGTAAGCATGGCATGTTAATTAACATGCTTTAATGACACACAACGAAAATTAAAAGTGAAAATTTCCATGACAAAAAATATAAAATCATTCCGATTATAAAAATTCCACAAGAATGTCCAGTTTTTTTGGATAGAATCTGATAAAAAAAAATATATAAATTTTTTTGGATGAAGTCAAAATTGTGATCATCAAGTGTACATGCATACACAATAGTGGACATAATAAATTATGGGTCATGTAAAGCAAAAGAAATCGACAAGTAGTAGCACTTCAACGCCACCGGAACCGCTGGCAATTGAAGTAAATTATAAGGACAATGCTTCATCACATCGAGAGAATCGTTATCCTGAGCAGCTGAATGCCGAGGAGCTCATAAGCCAAATTAATTGCAGTCGCAATATTAATAGTAATGCAAATGAAGTAACAAATAGGAATAATCGTAATGATAGTAACAATAATAGTAATAATAATAATAATAATAATAATAATAATAATACGATCCATCAATCAAATCAACACTGTAATACACATGATGAAAGTGTTGATGTCGAGAAAGCATCCGAGCGACGAGCTATTAGGCAACGGCCTCTCTATCGACGACTCTTTTCATTCATTAGGAATTTATGGATTGGTGCTAAATTCAATGTCGGAAAGGCTGGTAAGCAAAAAAACAACATTTCATGATATTTATTATTTCCGATTGATAATACGGTTGAGGTGCGGCGAGCTTAAAAGCTCTCTTTCTTTTCATTTTGCTGCCTTTCTTAAAAGAATGTGTTAAATAATACTTTTTTCTCTAACAGGTTAGTCGATTAGAGTTGATTATGTGTTTGGAAAGTGTGAAATATGTAATCAAGTAAAGGAATACGTTTAAATTAGTGACGTAGATTTGGGCATTTTTGAAACATTTCTGGGTTATCGAAAGCTTGTGAGGAATTTTGTGTGAAAAATGGCATGAGTAGAGCTGGAAGGAATTCTTCATTTTTTAATTGCACTTTATTGCATTTATTGACGACATACTGTCCGGTAATAATTCACATTTTACACTTTTGTATTTGTATACATATGAACCAGTTTTTATGTAGGATCAAACTTCTAATCTTCATATCTAGGTTTCAAATAAACTAAGGCTCTCGTTTCGATCTTCTGTGGGTGTGACGTGATACTTTTCAGGTCCGTTCTAACAATATTCCATTCGTGGGTAATCTTGTAGCTCTCGTTCCTATTTCTGCCGCTACACTTCAAGTTCCTGACCCGTTCCTTAAACCAACGTTATCCAAATGCCCAATTATGGCTTGATCTCGTACATTAAGCAGTCGAAGTATCTAAACTTTCGAAAAAGAACATATTGGAAATGGCTGGATTCGAACCGACGACCTTCGAGTTACCATCTCAAATTTGAGCCAAGCGCCTCACCTATTCGACCAGCAAGGCACTTAACTGCTATTCAATTCTTAACTCCTGGATCTTAACTTCCATAGAAACTGACTAAGCCTTTGATTTGAAGATAACATTCCATATCAGCCAGTAAGTCTGCTTTGTATTCATTTCAAACATTTCCAAATCTCTCAAAAAGATAAAATTTTCATTTCCTTGAAATCAGAGCCCAAAGCATAAATCTGATACCTTATAAAAAACTTTCCATTCACCTTCTCTTCAACAATTTTTCAAATCAAACATCCTCAACAGAACCTGAACCTTTCCAAAACAATTTAAAGCAATAAACTTGACGCATTATGATAAATGTCAAAAGAATGAGTATAAATTATTGTGTGAAAAAGAATAAAATAATGTGTTTACAATACATAAACCATAATTCCCTTTAGAATCATTAAACAAGAAGAAAATGGGCAACGGCAAGAATAAGAAATGTTAGAGGAAGCAATTAATAATAATTTAGAAATTGAATGTCACAATAAATTAGACATAAAAAGTTAATGAAAAATAAATATAGTAATATGATGAAAAATTGCAATAGCTCTGCTCCCAATCTGTGAATATTAGGGACAATATTTGTCAAAAATGTTAAGTGTGCTGTAAGAATCACTTTTCATTTCATTTCACATTTTCGTTATTTTTCTCAATTTAATAGCGGATTTTTTTGAAAATCTGTGAGTGCAGTTTGAGACATATTTAGATAATTCTCAAGGAGTGACATTTATATGCGGACTAGATGCTTGACTTTGGCTATTTTGATTGGAAAGATAAATTAACGCCCAGAAAAATTTCAAAAAATAACGAACAAAACTGTTATTTTTGAAATTTGAAATTCAAACATTGAAAAATCGTTAAATTTCTAGCTTTACTTATTTACTTTCTTGGCTTATTGCCGCGTTCAATTCGATTAAATGCGTCAAAATTTAAATAATCCCACTTCCTCAAAATTTCTTCTTACTTCAAAAAATATTTTTACATGCTTATTTCTTTCTTATTCTTTCCTTGTTTCTACTGTTTACTTCTGCCATTCGACATTAACTGCTATTAAGACACGCGCTCTTGCTTATGAGCGATTTACTTTCCACGTAGCTTGATTATGTTTATTCTCTCTTTATGTTATTTTTTGCACAAAAACATACTGTAATTTGGTATGTGGGTATATTCAACATATATGTTCATTCTCTCTATGTTTTGAAGAATAAGAAGCTTTTGGCTTTCCTAAATGAAACCATTATGGTGAAGGTTGATGTAGCAACAGAATTTATTTTTTCAATGTTCACAATACTTCTTTTGTTTCTGATTTCTGTGTATTTTCTGTTTGCACAGTGAGAAACCATCAACGTCCACGCTTTAATACGATTCGTTAAGGTGCGATAAAGCATTATAGCTTTCAGAATTAATGTTCACACACAAAATAAATTAAAAGGAAAAAGGGAACTGAACCAGGAGAATTGGAAGTTATTTTAGTTATAGGAATAAAAGGCAGGCGCATGCAAAAGGTGTTGAGAGAATTCAAGCAGTTAGTAAACAAGATTATTATCTTGAACGTTTTATGTAAATTAATATATATTTTTTTATTTTCGCAAATCTTAATGCGGTAATCTCGCTTTTCAAATGAAAGGAAATTATTTGCTTAGTTCTCGGCCTTTTGTTTTTGATGAATTCATTGAGCAGATAGAAAATCCATTAATCAGATTTGATATTTTCATATTTGTTTACTATAGGAACATGCATTGACAACAAGATAAGATATCTTGATGAACTTAGGCTTAGTAAAGAGACCATAGTTTAGCTAAGATTCAATTGTATGACGAAATAGTCAAAAATGATCCATTTTGCGTTCATTGAAGGTCTAGGGTCAAGTAAGGGTTCGAATCTCATTCGGCCTGTTTCACTAAGGTGGATTATCTTCATTTTAGAATTGTCTATTTCTTCGATGAAAGGAAAATCCAAATAATTTCTTTCTGATGTAGAATTAATTGGTAAATAATAATCAAGCTAGTTTGAGAAAAATCATTTTTCTTGTATAGTGAATATAGCGAAAAAATAATTTTAGTATATGGATTATCCTAGGATAATCCTGAAGATTATCCGAATTTTCAATCTTGGTGGGACCCAGTTTAAACATTTTAGATTAATTATGTGGATAATCCTAGGATAATCTCAGTATAATCTTCGGATAATCCACTTACTAGGATAATTTTATTTTGTGAAATCCATCGTCAAAAAATTATTTTCTTTAAATCTTTAAAAAAAATTTTCTAAAATTTTCTTTAGTGAAACAGGCCGTTTGAGTTTTAAATGTTGACTGCAGTAGTTCTCAAACTAATTTACTTGTCCGTCAATCATTTCGCGGTGCACCTAGGATTTTCTCACGGAACACTAAACCTCATCTGAACATACTATGTTTTGCGGCTGACTTGTGAGGAGCAGTGCAAGAAAAGGATTATAATAAATACAAAAAGAAACTGAAGAGACTGGATTATAATCAAGGCGTAGAAACTCAGGATTAATCGTTAAAAAACCAAATATCCAAAAAAATCTCTGAGCCAATAAACATGGAAATGTGAAATCGCTTTTAAATCCCGAAGTTATTCATAAAATGCATGAGGGATTTAAAAGGGATTTAAATTTCCGTGTTTATTGACTCAGGGATTTTTGGGTTTTTTTTAGGATTAATCCTGAGTTTCCACGCCTTGATTAGAATGACTCCCAGTTAACCTGTCTTCTCTTAATAATTAAAAATCATAAACATTACAATGTTCACAAAAATTCATTCCCACCCTCCAACAAAAAGTCAAATTCTTTACAATTCTCCCCAGTCAGTTCCAAAATTAAAGCATTTATTTTTAGATCAAATAAATTTTCACTTCCACACCCCCTCAAAATTCCCACAATCACTTCATTTTTCAAATCACATAAAAAGCTTTCATCCGAAAAACTAAATAGTCCCTGAAAAGGAACAAATGCTGACTAACGATCAACACAAACAGTTTCTCACTCTACTCCATGAAAATGCATAAGTCAGAATGGTCAAGTCTAAAAATAGGCAAATTATTCTTGAAAACAAAAGTTTCGCACATTAATATATATCATTTCTTTTCATTTGTTCCTTCTTCCTTTTTCCGTTTCTAATATGACAGACAATTTGTGGTTAAATGTTGGCCTGAAGATGATTAGGGATCATTTTTGTCGTTCCATTCACACTTGTTCGCATTTGATTGAAAATGGAAAAAAATTTCAATTAGGTGCTTTGGCTATGTATTGTAACTGAAACTGCTGACGCATGATTTATTGGACTTTTTTCTCTGTTCAAACTTTATTAATACCAAAAGTTTCTGTTAGCTTCATTGCTATATTTTTTCTTGCTTTGTCTCTTCCTGCCTTCTCTCCGTTCTGTCTCGTACTTCTTATTTTGACATTGTCCTATGAGCAGATCTATAAAAATAGAAGATAGCAGCAACGACAGAATGATACCATTCATACATCATTTATCATGATGAAGCTTATCTATTGTTTCTCCTACTTTTTCGCTCATCTTCTCTTCCATATCTTTCATGTGCTTTATTACTTATGACTTTTTTTTCTGGTGACAGAGTTTTAAGAATGAAATTTTTATTTTGTTGTGGGTGTTTTTGGCTGTCTGTTTGGCTGGAATTTGATGAATTGATGAGTTTGTGGTCGATTGGTAGAAGTAAAGGCCAGTTGCCACTAAATGAAACTCTTTAGGAGCATCCTTAAGCAATACCAAAGTATTTTTCTTAAGCTATCCCTTTGCGGTGGTCTTGGCTATGTCCTGAAGTTTACACCAAACTCTACAATTGGGGAGGGATGCATTTGAGCTAAGACATACCCGAGTAGAACAAGTCGGTTAGTCGAATAAAAATCCAGCACCAATCAGGCATGATTCTGACATAAATTTAAATCCAGCACCATGCCAGAGTCACACCTGCTTGGTGCAAGATTTCTGATTGATTAACCGACTTGTGCCATTCGGGATAGTTTCCTTATTCTCTAGCTTGCAAAATTATATCAAAACATCAAACAATGAATAAAATGCGCTCTATTCATTCCGAACTTTCGAAAAAAAACTGTCAAACATTTTATTTTTTCACCGCCCTCGCTTGGTCAACTGAATATTCTCACTGCCATCCTAAATTGCGTCACCCCTCTAAATTAGAATTTATTAGTAAATGGAATCATTTTCCATATCATTTTTTT